TGTATGTATGTATGTATATGCATGCAAATGCTTATGTAACTTTTCATAAGAGTGCGTGTAGAAACATATTTATGTGTGTATAACATCCACGTGCATTTGGGTGTATCGACTGGGCAAGGCACCAAAGACAGAGAAGATCGGTTTAGGTGTTGCTTCTTCCTGACCTCCTGTGTTTTCTGGAAGATGCGCAGAAGGGTTTCAGGGTCGGAATGGTCTGCAACAGCAGCGTTCCTTTTGGTTGCTATATAGCGATGCTCTAATCTGTCTCAAAACCCTGGTCTAAGTTATTTTGCCATTGCCCACCAGTGCCCAGACCGTGCAGCGGAGGGGAGGGGAGGGAAGGGAAGGAAGGGAAGGGTGCTGGGAACTTCCGTGTCTGATGCTCTGCGATTTTCCTGCTTGAGTGCGTCAGGCTTGCAGCTAATGAAGATGCTTGCTTGGAGGTTCATTGATAGTTATAAATGGCGTTATAGTTCCGCTGATATGGGTTACAATTATAGTTACCCTACTTATAACCCACGTATAACTACCCATGAACCTCCAAGTGTAGGTTTATTGTTGCCAGTGCTGATGGTTTCTTCCAAGATTGAAAACCAAGCTGCTGGTTGCCGAAAACTGGTTCCATGGTGGTAAAGTTGCGACGCCGTCGGTCCAGCTGCGGTTGTCCCAAAGTCTGGGCGTCTGGTCCGCGCTGTGCGAATCGTCAAGCCGCGTCAAGCCCCTATTCTAATGTAGGGGCCTTCATAATTAGAATCGGGTTTTCGGGTTTTCATATTACAATAATAGTATAGTAGACCCCGAAACCCAATTCTAATCCACATTAATCCCTGAACTCTGAGCTCTGAACCCTTCATCCGAGACCCTGAACCCCTGACGAAACCCCCCCAACTTAACCGCACCCTAGGGTTTAGGGTTTAGGGATTTAGGGTTTGGGGTTTAGGGGTTGAGGGGTTTAGGGTTTAGGGTTTAGCCCTTAAGCCCGAAACCCCAAAAGAGCCTTCGACCCTGCACCCTGAGCCCTTGAGTGATTAGGGTTTAGGGTTCCCTTGAGTGCAGCTCCGGCCTTCTTCCAGGAAATCCCGCAGCCCTCACAGAGACCCTTCCCGTCGCCTTTCTTGAACCCCCGTAGAAGCCTTGTGAGGCATTGTTGTTAGGGCTTTATTAGGGTTTGGGGTTCAGGGTTTAGGGTATCCCTTCCCTAAACCCTAAACCCTAAACCCTAAACCCTAAACCCTAAACCCTAAACCCTAAACCCTAAGCCCTAAAGCCCTAAAACCCTAAAGCCTTAAAACCCTAAAACCCTAAACCCTAAACCCTAAAACCCTAAAGCCCTAAACCCTAAACCCTAAACCCACTGTAGAACCCCCGTTCAGGAGGTGAAGTCGCGGGCGCTCGCAGCCGGTTCGGTGGAGAGCGTCAGGCGAGGACTTCTCAGGACTTGTCCGTAGGGTTCCTCTTAGAATCTTAGAAGGGGTTTAGGGGTTGAGGGGTTTCGGGGTTTAGGGTTTAGGGTTTAGGGCCCTAAGCCCTACTCTAAGTATTGAGGTCCTGGGTCTGAGGTTAAACTCTTCCAGAGCTTCGGCCCTCGTCGTCGGGGATTGCTGAGGCCCGATCTTGGGGGCTCGTTGAAGGGCTTCCTCTGAGGGTTTTGGGGTTTAGGGTTTAGGGTTTAAGGTTTTGGGGTGTAGGGTTTAAGGTTTTGGGGTTTAGGGTTTAGGGGTTTAGGGCTTAAGGTTTTGGGGTTAAAGGTTTCAGGTTTTGGGGTTTAAGGTTTAAGGTTTTGGGGTTTAGGGTTTAGGGTTTCGGGTTCAGGGTTTTAGGGTTTGGNNGGGTTTAGGCTGTAGGGTTTAGGCTTCTATGGCGGTTCTATATGGGTACCATAGGGTTTCGGGCCGGTTTGGAGGTTTAGGGTTTGAGTCAGGCTCCACCTCGGCTGTGCGATGGCTTCAGCCACTGTGGCCTGCCTGGCCACGCAGCCAGTGGACTGCGTGAAGACACGTATCTTTGTCTCCTTTTAACTGTAGGTTTGGCAGTGATGATGGCCAGTCGGGATAAGGGCTTCTCTGCGGTATTTGCTTTTTTTTTTTTTTGTTTGGGGGGGGNNAGGGGGGGGGGCGGGGTAATTAGCTTTCACTTCTTCTCGTGTTTCGAGGCATCATCAACATGCAGCAGACGTGCGGCATCTCTTACGCAGGCCTGCGCCGTCTGAGATTGGAGACTTTTGCTAAACTCCTTCAAACTGAAAACGCCGCCCACTTTTCGAAGCGGGGTCAGCTGTTGATTGCAAGATGGTACGCCCTAAACCCTCAACCCAGGCTGCGGAAGCTTCTTTGTGGTGGAGGTTTCAGGCTACCCAACAGTAGAATCATCCCATCGGCTCAGCAACCCTGGCCCCGAACATAAGCCAGGATGGGGGTACTTTAAAGACAGAAGGGTTGTCCAAGCTCAAGTAGTTATCATAGTGAAACTTTAGGTATCCCATTTCGCTAAACCTAAACCTAAACCTAAACCNNCCCCCCCCCCCCCCCCCCCCTCAAGCGCTTCTTTTGAAACCTGGAGGGTTTATGAACAAAAACACCGCCAAGTTCTACATCCCCCTCCCGCTAAAAAACTCGTCTGAGCACCCGATAGAAAGACCCACAAACTATAAAGCTCTGAAAGCTCTTAAAGCCCTTCGTCCCGAAATTCCAAGCCCCTAAGCCCCAAAACCCTAAAACCCTAAAGCGCTTATAGTGATCCTTAAAGATACCCCTTCTACTACTTCCTGATAGCAACCCTTATGGATACCCTTCTTATAGTAAGTCTTGTAGATACCTGTAAAGGAACCCTTCTTCTAGTATCCTGTAAGACCCAGGGCCCGAATGAAGCCTGGAGCCTCTTTGAACTGGGTTCTTGTTGAGGGATTTAGTGTAAGCTACCACAACAAAGAAACCCTATAAACCCTAAACCCTAAACCCTAAACCATAATAGAGAGACCCGATTATTTGCTATAGATCCCCAGAAAGGCAACTTAAAGGAAATCCCTTAACAAGAGCCCAGTGAAGGCCCCGTGGATGTGATACGCAAAACATTGGCCACGGAGGGCATCCTGGCATTTTACAAAGGCCAGCAGCCGCAAGGGTTCCAGAAGGGCTCATACGGTTGATAACCCTAAACCCTAAACCCTAAACGAATGCACATCCCCAGCTCTCCTCAAATGAGGATTCTTGATTTCAGACATGAGCAGACGGAAAAAGGCCCTTTAAAAAACCCTAAACGATAAGCTCTAAACCCTGAACCCTAAACCCTAAACCAGGGATTCCTTATTATAGTTACTGTATAATCTATTCCAAGACAGTAGGGGTAGCTCTCTGAAATAGGGTTGATGATGTAAATCCTGCATTACCCATGAGAAGGGCTATACCATACTTCCGGTTTTTTAGGGTCCTTAAGGTTATGCAGCATGTACATCACCAACAGTAGAATCATATGGGGTTTATTGTTTTTTTTAAACAGGGTTTTCATTTAGAAGCCTGGATGGTTCTCGATCCTGGTCATTTTTTGTCACACCAAGGCCCTCTTGAAGTTATGAAGGCCCCGATATTGGGATGTAAGGTTTTGTAGAGGCCATGGTTCAAGGGTTGGGATGCTTGGGACAGTCGGGTTGAATCATCTAGGTTCAGGGCATAGCTGATATTGGCGTTTTAGGCTTTCGCCATTCGAGGAGCATCGAGGTTCGGAATCCAGGGTTCGGGACCTTAGATCTTGATTTCGAGTTTAGGGTTTAGGGTTTCGGGTTTGTTAATGAACGAGTTAGGTTTTGAAGGTCCGGTGTTTCTAGTTCGGTTTTTCGGGCTTGTCAAGCAGAGGGTTGGAGATGAGGGTCAAGTATGTCCGATGCTGGGAGTTGTTTGCTGCGCCACAGCTGTCTCGCGGCCACCTCGCTACGTACTGCGCTTCAAACACCGATTGCGCTCCCATGGCGAAACTCTGCACTGTATTCGATGAGTAAACAAACCCTCGAGACTGTTCTGCCAACCAACAAGCAAAGTCTGCACCATTTCTGCAGGACAGCCAACATTTTTTTCACCAAAACTGTGAGGGACAGCAGGCAAGTTCAGCACTTGCATGGGGAACAGCCAGCACGGACCGCGTGTTCTGTTGGGCACGCATACCGGGTCGAGACAGTGGGTTTTACAACGGGCAAAATGTGCGATCGTTCTATGGCACAGGAGACTGACTCTGTACCATACTCCTTGTGACGGCTAGCTGTATTGCAGTTCGTCTTGCTCTGACGGTTCATGGGAGCACGGTGCTCGATGGAGTTATGCGGCTGCTCATGTATGAACAAACAGTTTTTTTGTTGCACGGTGTCTGTAAATAGTATATATATATATATGTTTATGGATCTCACTATCTCTGTCTCTCTGTCTCGCTATCTCTCTATATCGCTCTCTCTCTCCCTCTCTCGCTGTTTCTGCCTGTCTACTTGTCTGTCTAACTATCTACAGTATCTCTGAATCGGTCTGTCTCTGTCTCCATCTATCTCTCTATCTACCTGTCAATCAATCAATCAGTCTATCTATCTATCTAACTAACTATTTGTCTATCTACCTATCTACCTATCTAACTATCTGCTAATCTACCTATCTACCTATCCATCTTATCTATCTCTGTACCTGTCTATCTGTCTTTCTACGTATATATCTATCTATTTACCTATCGATCTATCGATCTATCTATCTATCTATCTATCCATCTATCTATCTATCTATCTATCCATCAGTCTGTCTGTCTGTCTGTCTGTCTGTCTGTCTGTCTGTCTGTCTGTCTGTCCGTCGGTCTGTCTGTCTGTCTGTCTGTCTGTCTGTCTGTCTGTCTGTCTGTCCGTCTGTCTGTCTGTCTGTCTGTCTGTCGAAAAGTCTGTCCATCCATCCGGCCATCCATCCACCTCTCACGCCCTCTCTGCCTGTCTGCCTATCTATCTGTCTCTCTATCTACAAGTCTTTCCATTCGTCTACATGTCAACACAGCTGCATGGTGAAGCTCCTTGGGGGCTCAGGGTTTGGAGCTTAGGGGTTTGGGGTCTGCTTCTGCCTTATCAGTTCAGATGCAATATCGGGACCTAAATAACTACCAACACTATTTTGGGGTTCCTTAGTATAACCATACTATAACTAATTATGGGATATTTTGCCCCGAAACCCTATTCTAACTATTAAGGCCCCCTACATTAGCCATACAGAACATCCACGTTCTCAGCCTCTCTCCGTGGAGAGGCCTGTCTGCGACATTCCTACGCAGCTCTGCTGCACTCGGGGCACGGAGCCTGTCCCATTTCGGCAGTGTACACCCTCAGCCCAAAAACGGCTTGTCGGGTCTAAACCCTAAAACCCTAAATCCTCAACCCTTAAAGCCCCAAAGCCCTACCCCAAAAACCCTAAACCTCAAACACTAAACCTTAAAACCCTAAGCCCAAAACCCAAAACGCTAAACCCCTCAACCTTAAACCTTAAAGCCCGAAACCCAAAACCCGAAACCTTAAGCTCTACGCCCTAAATTATAAAACCCAAAACCCTATACCTTAAACCCCTGAGGCTGTGGCCCTCGAGGTTGAAAAGGGTTCCATGGCTGAGGTGCGATTCGGCCCGGTCCTGTACCCTAGTTGGGTTTAGGGTGTTTAGGGTGTTTAGGGTTTAGGGTTTAGGGTTTAGGGTTTAGGGTTTAGGGTTTAGGGTTTGGGGTTTGGGGTTTAGGGTTTAGGGTGTGCTTGGAGGTTCATGGGTAGTTGTCACTGGGTTTATAAGTCCCCTGATAAGGGCGATAGTTATGGCTACCCTACCTAGAACTTCACTTGTAACTGTCCATGAACCTCCAAGTAGGCCCCCAAACCCGAAAGCTTTAGGGCCCTAAGCCCTACCCTGGACCCCTAAAGAACCTACCTTTTTCCGGGTTCCTTATTATGATTTCTTGATATAGGTCCTCAACAAGGTTTGTCATTTGGGGTTAAGAGACTCCAAGTCCGAAACTGTCGGGTTGAGGGTAAGGTTTTAGGGTTTAGGGTTTAGGGTTTAGGGTTAAGGGTGTATTGTCCTCAGCTATCCGTAACACTGTGCCATCTTGAACTTTTAGAACTGAGCCATGAACGGTTTCCGCCGTCTCAGAGAGTGTTTGAAAGCGACATAGGGCCATAGAGCGTCTGTCTTTTAAGATTCCTGGAATTATGGGCCTGTTTAATACTTGTTAAGCAGCAGATTGAGTCACCCTTTAGTTAAACCGTCCCGCAATAAGGAAAGAGTGAGGCCCCTGCATGCCCACACTTGTTGCCTTTGGCAACTGTATGCCTGTTACCCAACCCGGATCCACCTCATAATACTCTTCTTTCCCCAGCCAACACTGACCAAAGCCTTTCCTTGTGAAGGACTTTCTGTGATGCGGACCCTAGTCTGTAGGCCCTTACAGGACAGGTTTTACTAGTCAGTCCACTGCAGTAATCAAAGTAAGGCTGCCGCAGAGTAGGCACCCCCCCCGCCCCCCCGAAGATGAGTTTTCATCTGTGCCCTCAATGAAATTACCCTAAACCCTAAACCCTGCGCGCTAAACTCGAAACTGGCCGTTTCTCAGGACTATGGCCACACACCGTGCTTCTTTGGCTGGGCCGCTGATCCCAACTGCTGGGTTTGTGTGTGTGTGCGCGCGCGTGTGCGTGTGTGTGTGTGTGTGTGTAAAACCCTGAAGCCAAGGGCACTTTCGAAAGTACCTGTGAAACACAAGAGTGCAGGGGGCCCCATCCCTCTTGTCATTGGTGGATGGCCCAATGACAAGAGCTGAAAACTTACCTGCACCAAAAAAAGAACGAGACAGTAGGCTACGAGTGTAGGAATACGTGCTATCCCATATTTGGCTTCGGTCATTCGGGGGTCAAATCAAGTGTGTGTCCTTTGTAGGGGGGTAATATAGGGGCCTCAATAATTACCTATACTATTTTGAGGATTCCTTATTATAAGTATAGTATAATGCGCCCCAAAACCCTATTCTAATTATTAAGGCCCCTACATTACGCACGAGCTCTTTCTTCTAGCAGGGTGTCGAACGTTGAGGGTTCTGAGTTCGGCGGCGGGAAATGTTCGAAGGGTTTGACATGGTCTTGACCTAGGCCCTAGGCGCGGTTTAAGGTTCGGGCTTTAGGGTTTAGGGTTTAGGGTTTAGGGTTTAGGGTTTAGGGTTTAGGGTTTAGGGTTTAGGGACTACGCAGGCCACATATTGCAAAGTGTGAAGGAAACTAGGTTGTCGTCGTTAGTCGCAGGTGGAGGAGCAACCAAAGCCCTCAATGAGAAAAAGCCTCGGAGTGCCAAACCCTAAACCCTAGACTCCTAGCCTAAGGGTTTAGGGTTTAGGGTTTAGGGTTTACTAAGTCCAAAACCCGAGCCCATAAAGCCAAAGACTCTTACCCCTTTCGACCCTTTATTGTTGAGCGCCATCCTGGCCCGCACTAGCTTCGGTGGGATCACCTTGGTTTAAACTACAACGGCATAGGAGAGCATGTGTATATTATATATACACGACACACGCAACAAGTAAGACAGTTCAATAAACACGGTCCCATTTTTGTGGGGTAGCCAGATGAGTGTCTGGTCTCACCGTCGTGAACATTAGACTTGGCACGATTCAAAGCCTAGCTGCCGCGGTTCAATATAAAACCCGAACTATAAATAGTTTTGGGGGCTGTTGGCATCGACACCTGTTGACTTGCTGCGGTGGTTCCTGATGTAACGTTCTTGTGTGAGTAGCCTACTGTGCACTGTGCTGTATGTTCATATGTGCGCAGTAAATTGTTAACAGGCTTCAGCACTAGAGTAACTTAAACTAAGTTCCATCATTGCATTTGAGACCCTTGAAACACATCATCCTTCAAGCCTATTAAAATGCCAACGACTTCATAACTATGGTAACTTGCATCAAGTTCTACACCCTAAACCCTAAAGCCCTAAAGCTTTAAACCCCTGAAGCCCTAAACCCTAAGCGCGAAACCCCTAAGCCCTAAACCCTAAACCCTAAACCCTAAACCCTAAACCCTAAGCCCTAAAACCCCTTAACCCCGAAGCCTCTTCAGCAAGAGCCCCCCCAGAGAACCCAATACCCCCTATTTAAGGAATATGCCTTAAATCAGAACATTAAGGCCCCTATAATTTAAGGCACATTCCTTAATTAAGGGGTATTGGGTTCTCTGGGTAACTACCCTAAACCCTAAACCCTAAACCCTAACCCTAAACCCTAAACCCTAAATTCTTAATTTAAGGGGTATTGGGTTCTCTGGGCCAGCCTAGGCCAAGAGTCGGTGACATCTCAACTCCGCTCCCTGGAGCTCTGAAGGTTTAGGCGCCGGGCCGACGGCCTGGTCTTCAGGTCCTAATATTTAGGGCCCTAGGGGGTCTAGGGCTCTAGGGCTCTAGGGGTTCAGGGTTTAGGGTTTAGCCCGGTCTTCAAGTCCTAATAGGGTTCTAGGGTTCTAGGGTACTAGGGTTCTAGGGTACTAGGGTTCTAGGGGTTCTAGGGTTCTAGGGCACTGGGGTTCTAAAGTTCTAGGGTACTAGGGTACTAGGGGTCTAGGGCTCTAGGGTTTAGAGTTTTGGGTTTAGGGTTTAGCCGCCCGGCCGTTTTGACACTTTAGGGCTGAGGCTTCAAGGCTTTAGGACTTCAGGGCCTAGGGCGTAAGGCTTGTAGGGTCTCGGCTTTAAGGCTTTAGGGTCCAGGCTTGAAGACTGTAGGGACTAGGCCTTAAGACTTTAGGGTTTAGGCTTTAAGAGTTCAGGGCCTCGGGTTTAACATTTGAGGGTTTAGGGTTCCGGGTCAGTTTTAAAAAGTTCCGTCATAGTCTGAAACTCCCGAATCGGCTAGAGTGGGAAAGGATTTAGAGTAGAGGGAAGACGGTTTGGCGGGGTTCCGGGTTCAGGTCTTAAGGGATTTTGGTTTAGGTCTAGGTAAAGGTCGGGTTTAGGGGAATCTAGGTTGATGGTTTGGGGTTGAGGGTTCAGCAGTACCATTCTTATTATTCTAATTCTAACTCCAAAGCTCTAGGACCCCAAACCCTCGTAAGGGGAAGAATAGAAACTTCATGAACAGAATCCTTCTGTTTGGAAGCAAGTCTCAGAAAAGGTAGTTGCCCGCAATCCAGACGTTAGATAGTACGATGCTGAAATATTCGCACGCTGAGGTATGTCTGAGCAAAAGACATCCCCATAAGATTGTATCCCCTCGAGGTGGCTATTTGAAGTCGTTCCGGTTGCAATGATTGTAGTAGAGGATAGCATGCCGACATTCATAGCACAAGGACCACCACTGCAAGTGTGGTTGGCGGCAGAGCCATGTATTGGAAGGCTCGTAGTTACCCAGAGAACCCAATACCCCTTAAACAAGGCATCTACCTTAAATTATAGGGGCCTTAATATTATGATTGAAGGCATATTCCTTTCTTAAGGGGTATTTGGGCTCTCTGGGTAGTTATAGGTATTTGTAGCAACAGTTACATGATCTATCGCCCGACCATGCCCGACCGCTATAACCCGACGTACAACTCCCTATGAACTCTTTCTGAATCCACAGCATCGTTAAGACCTGGACAAGAGTAGAAAAAGAAGCAGGGAGCCTACGGCCCTAAACCCAAAACCCTAGGCCACCTCCCCCCCCCTCCCCTAAAAAAAAAAGCAACAACTTCCAAAAAGGCTCAAGACTAAACCCAAAACCCTAGGCCCCCCGGAAACAAAAACCCACAAAAAGGCTCAAGACTAAACCCTACGCTCTAGACTAGAAGCCAGGTCCTCAACCCGCAAGAGCCACCGGCCACCAACGTTCCCCACTAGATTCAGCGCTTTTTCAGATTTAGCCTTTGGGGGCTTTAGGGTTTTATGGCTTGAGGTTTAAGGTTTCGGGGTTTAGGTGGTTAGGCTTTTCAGATGTGTTGTTAAGTGCGGCTTCTTTGATGAGGGGTTCTTCAGCAAAGCAATGAAGAGTTTCTGCAAATCTCACTACTCTAAACCCAGAAACGGAAAACCAAAACCCAAACATTAATCTCTAAACCCTAAAGCCCTCAACCCTAAACCTTAGAACCCAAAGCCCTTGACCAGACAGCATCAGAATGTTCGGAAGCCTCGACCTCTTGGCTTCTAGTTTAGGGTGTAGGGCTTGGTTTTTTCTCCAAGGATTTAGGGTTTAGCGGTCTGGGTATTGGGTTTAGGGTTTAGGGTTTAGGGTTTAGGGTTTAGGGCTTTTCGGAATGGCAGGTTGGGCGCTCGAACGCGGTGTGGCCGCCGTTTCAGCGAGGAGAAAAAGACTTTGCTCGAGAGAAGGGCACGCTGCTGCTGTGCTGCTGCTGGTGGTGGTGCTAGTTGTAGCAAGACCCTTGTCCTCTTGGTGATGGTGTTGGTGTAGTGGCCATACTTGCAATGATGCCAACCACAAGGAGAATACGGGCAATAGAGTTTGCGTTGGTCATGACCCAGAAATGGTGGTGATCAGAGCAACATAGTCATTTTTCGTAAACCCTAAACCCTAAACCCTAAACCCTAAACCCTAAACCCTAAACCGTTTCGTTGGAAGTTTCTTCGAACAAGTGTCAAAAATGATAGGCCCAAGCCCGCCAACACCAGCAAACCTCTTCCCCTCAACCCTAAACCTACAGCACAAACCCGAAACCCTAAAAACCCTAAACCCTAAACCCTAAACCCCAAACCCTGAACCCTGAAGCCTAAACCCCAAACCTTGAACTTTAAACC